TCACGACAAATTTTCCCATCATTTTCTTCGAAATTTTTCTTACCAAAATCTGCAGCACAAAATGCCTCTTGTGGATATATCTTGTCCGGATATATAGGACACATCCCATCTGTTAAAGTTAAAGTGTGAAAGACGAGGAGAATCGCCACTCTCATCAAAAGTCCTCTGAACTCCATTGTGATGATAATGCTGATATAATGAAAAACGAGGGACAGAAGAACATGGAGTGATTCAGGACTTTGAAGAGCATGACATAAGTGTGATGGAAAGTTAAATATTTTATTATCTTCGAAGCTGGTATGACTATTCGAAACAATCATTAAAGAAATGCATATACTCAATTGCATTTGAACACGAAAATGTTTGGAAAATAATGGTCCGATTTAAACGTTTAGTTATCATAATGTGTTTATAAAGTACTATATCGGATGCTTGTTCGCATAAAGTGCTGTCATTTGAAAAAAGAAGAAAAATTCCACAGACGATTAGTTAGTAATAACAGTCTTTCGCATTTACCGATATACTGGCCCCAATTTTAGATTTTTGGAAATTGTAATTGAAGATAACACTACAGATGACCAGAATATATATGTAAGTAAATAAATAATAACGACAGTACCAACATTTCACAACTGCCAAGTTTTAGAGGCAATCTATCTTGAGGGTCTTGACAGAACTTAGCAGGAACTATAACACTGAATAGAAAACCATGGACAATACTCACATCATTACGTCAGTAAAATAACACTGATATAAATGTTAATCACTTCTGCCAGATTTCAAACCAAGGGCTTGTTAAATGATGAAAATTCATCTAAGATCGTATACAATGTTCAATATGCAAATTTGTTTACAAAAGTTGGACTGTTCTTATGATATCAGCGATCGAATTGAAAATAAATTTGAACGTTAAAAATAATAAAGAAAACGGTACCGCGGCACAATGTTAAGAGGAATAGGGTTGCCACATACTCGACCAGTAAGGTATATATATGTTTAAGTTGGTCAAACTTGAACAAAGAACAGGTTGTATGGTAAGTAGGGTTTATATGATGCTACGGTAATTGACATGAGCGAGTCTGGAGTTAAGATAAATATCCATATATGTTTACAGTATAGAGTACTGTTCAGTTGGCAATGACGATACATACGAACTGAAATAGAGAATTAAAAATTATAAAACAATAGAATACAAAAAAAAAACAAAAACAAAAAAAAACCCGGCCTAACACAAAAACATGAACCTGGAACTCGTCCATCAATACCTTAATGACCATGATCAGAAAACCGACAATGAAAATAAATTATTATCATTAATAATATCAATCAAAAATCCAGAGTGTAAGTATCAAACCGGTTTGATAGGATAACAGTACACAATATTGATGATGTACAATTTTCAAACAAAACTGTTTGAACCAGTGTTGTCTTTGTTGAGGCTTTGCTGGTTACTTCAAATCTAGCAATTGTTTGGATTCGCGGTGTTAATTTCGCCATCCACATGAAAGTCCTCTAAGATGATATGTTGTGAAATGATTAATTTTGGAGAGCGAATAAGGCGAAATTTAAACTGCAGCGAAAATTTCCTGATAAACTCCGTAGTAGGTTAACCTGCCACTTCTTTGCTTTTTGCTTTCAAGTCTTCATACATTTTCATTCATAAAAATACAGGACTATGAATCTGAGGAACCTTATCTTGATTTACAAGATTGTGAGATGTGCCAATGATGACTGCATTGCAACGGAGTCTACAGCAGGACAATGTCTTCATGAAGCAAAGCAGTGTTTCTCACAAACGCTTAAATGCCAGTTTAAGAGAAAGGGTCAATGGAGAAGCAAGAAAGGTGCAAAACAAGTGCACCAAAAGCTAATTTAGGCACGGTTGTATTACATAATGACTATTAAGACAACATTCGTAAATGTGCATGTTAATCATTTATTTTACGACTTCCGTCAATATTCACTGCAAGCACGCTTTCTTATTCTGTTAAATAACAAATATCAAAATAGTGCTAGATGGACATAATGTTTTTGAATTTTCAATAACAGTCACATAAATGTATAGTAAATGAAATGAAAGACTGAAATATTACCATCCTATTTCTTTGCTCTCTCTCCCTTCAGAGCTTTGGTAGGTTAGCACATGAATTCAATTCATATGATTAAAGAGTTTTTTAATTTCGTGTCATGATGTGACATGTAATATCCTCTATCTGGGTTCATTTTCAAATAATTTATTGCAGATAAAGTGACACTGGTATCCAAAATACTTTATGTCCTATGGTGGCATATTTCTGCCATCCACTTGCGACTTACGAGTTACGTATGTCGACATAATTATTGAAAGATGTCGACATAATCTGAGAATATGTCGACATAATCTGAGAAGATGTCGACATAACTTTTAAATTATGTCGACATATTATCACATTTGCCGAGATAATTTTGCCGAGATAATTATCTCGTAAGTGGGTAACTCGGCTTTTTATCGTGTTAATGCTCGGGTGTGACATCGACTTACGACTTGCCACTTACGACTTATTTATGTAAAATCCCTCTTTGATTGATAAACTCTGTACATCATAGTAACCTACTGTAATATCCATATCTTTGATTTCCCATATTTACATTGATTTTACCAAGTTACTCACCAGTATAGTCACCACTGTTCAGTCACCATCAGCCCACCTTCGCGGTCCTCGTGCACAAGCCTCGTTTTGGTAAGTCGGCAATAATCTACTAGGATGTCGACATAAATAAGTCGTAAGTGGCAAGTCGTAAGTGGCAAGTCGATGTCACACCCGAGCATTAACACGATAAAAAGCCGAGTTACCCACTTACGAGATAATTATCTCGGCAAAATTATCTCGGCAAATGTGATAATATGTCGACATAATTTAACAGTTATGTCGACATCTTCTCAGATTATGTCGACATATTCTCAGATTATGTCGACATCTTTCAATAATTATGTCGACATACGTAACTCGTAAGTCGCAAGTGGATGGCAGAAATATGCCACCATAATGTCCGATACGTAAAATATTTTATTATTACTACACGAGAAAAGTACATTGTAACTCATCGACGTAAAACGACGAAACGAAGAAAACATTGAAAACCGCATAAACCTTTGAAGATATTTGGTTTCATATGTAGTTTTTTCCCGTTGAAATATGAACACACTTTGTCACAAGAGGTCTTGTTATAATACTCCTTACTTACCGATGTAGCAATCTGGAGCTACAGGAGACGATGGAAAATAATAATCGCTTCGTCGCCTTCATGTTGCAGTGGTGAAGGAACACTGGACATTAGCGTTCTTCGTTCTTTCGTCTCTGTAGACTTAAATTGCAAAGGAACGAAGAGACCAATATAGCAAGGTACAAAATAATTTTCTTTTGCTCGATCCATTTCTTCGCCTTCGTATGTTGAAAGGCGACGAAGCTAAGAATAATATCGCTCAATGTGAAAGGGATGCGCGCTAATTATCTCACCTTTGTGACGCAGGGACGACCAGAACCTTTCTCCTTTCCTTAGATGTGCCAAACAGTACATACAGCTTAACTTAACATATACAAATTCGGTAGAGCACCAAACTACTAAACCAAGGGTCCCAGGTTCGAGCCCACGTGGGAGCTTTAAAAAATATGACCACTCTACGTTGACGTTTGTGAAGCATTTGCAGTAAGCTGACACAAATTTTATCAGTAGTGTTGAACAAAAGTCGTAGAACTTTTGTCTTGTACACTAGGTACATTTACGAACTTTATATCTATATATAATGTTCCGTATACAGTTTTTTGAAATGAACCCCGCATTTGCTTGTTGATATCGTCTTGCTCAGTTTACCTCAAAATGATGAATGTAGTAGTACTGGTACAACAATAGTGAGAAGTGTGTTACGAATTCAGTTATTCTTAATTGTCGACGATAGTTTATCAATTTTTTGTCTATCAATAGAAGTACTGATGATACACGTTTAGCTAAATGATTTTATCCGAAACTCATTACTGGAACTGGATGCCAGAGACATATTACTGCTTTAAACACTTCATGCACTTGCACTTAAACCGTATTTTCAGTCGTGCTATAGAAATAAAAATATCTACGTCATGTACCTCGTTTTTTATATTTTCTTTAGGGCTTACGCGTATAAGATGTAAAAGGAATAAAAAAACCCAAAACCCCAAATAATAATTTATTAGTTCAATTATTATTTAGCGCATTTATTTAAAGCACGCAAATCGATAAAATATTACTAACGCTAAAACGCTAAAATATGTACATAGTATCCAGTGCATGTATTTAACAGGTTTTTTTAGGATTAAGACGAATAGCAAAGTTCCCATTATAGACATGGTCGATTTATTGTTTATGATCTTTCAATGTTACTATCATCAAGGGAAGCTTTCCTATCAGATATGGAAGGCCTAAAATAAACCATACTAAGTGTGAAATCGTGAAAATTATTGAGTTTCTGGTTGATAATAGTTTTGTTGAGTTCCGTGCCAAACTTTCCGGCAGACTGCAGTCATAATTTTTCCCATTTTCACCGATCTCAACTAAGAAACTGTCCACCAAGATGAATTATAAAATAATGATCGAAGAAGTTTACAAAGATATAGGTTGTCGCCCTTCACCTCTCAAGGAAAAGAAACTCGCATTATAGATAATAAAGCGTTTCTTAAGTTTGTTATGAGTAAAGTGAAGTGAAGAAAATATAATGTTCTGATACCTGTAGAACAAACATATTGAGGAGAGGACGCGCAAAGTTGGTTCAAATATCTTTTGAATTCTTCACAATCTACATTACATAATTCCACTTCTAAAGTATACAGTGTTACATTTCGTCTACTTATATGATATTTCAAATGGTATAAGGGATAATTTCTGCGTTGAAAGTAAAATGTATGTAACACGTGTACAATGTACACATGAATATACTTGTGGGGGATTTAAGTATAATGAAATGAAAATAAAAACATGATATTTTAGGAGAATGAGATATGCAGTTTATTGGTGTCATTACATGTATTTCCAATACGATTTTACATGACAACCCTGCTCGTCCAATTTGGATAATGTCCGCCTTTCTAGCACTTAGCACGCGGATCAAGGACCTTCGACACATGTTTTGAAGGTTTTACTCTTCTTCCATTTACATACTGGTGCACAGTCATCCTTCTTAACCTCTACGCAGGTTGCATACTGACAAAAACAAAGTTCATCCTCAGGTGGTTCCACGATACAATTGTCTTCCCCGGTCTATCAAAGGAAGGTTTACACGTTAAGTATCAACTGTTGAAAATATGCGATATTGAAAAATAATACAAAAAAAATATATTCAGCTGCAAAACAATTTCATAACTTTGATCAAATACAGTAATTTAGAGAAATACTCACATAATGCGTTAGGTTCTCATTTTGTTATGGCCAAGAGAAAAAAATACTTTACAACTGACGCAAATGTATTAAAAATATACAAAAAATACCAGGTATTCTATTTAGGTCTTAGCTATTTAAATTGAAATCAGATAAAAATGTTAATGAAAAAGAAAACTAAATCAGCCAAAATGACTTATGTAACTTAATATTTAAAGCAGTCAATCAGCAAGGCTTCATCTGTACTTTCTAACTAAATTTAAATCCGGTAAAATACTGTGCCTCCCAGGAAATCTACATATCGAATGAGCGACAGGTCTTTTTTGTTTGAAATCAACACGTATTTCAAATTTGTATATTTACATTCTTAATATTTAGTTATTGTTGACCTTAATATAGATATCTACTTATGTTTTCGCTTTTAAAGTGTATTAGTCATCAGCGCAAACACGATTCCTTGAACAGCCGAACGTCAACAAAATGTTTGATTCTAACGGTTGTCTCATGTTAAACGGGGCGGGAGGAGAAGCTTCAAAATGACGGTAATCCAATAGCATATATACAACGTAGCTCTATCTTTTAAATTTAATCAACGTGAACATACATAGTAGCAGCATATAGAGAGTGATCTAGTTTCGTCAATCCTAAAGGCTTAATCCGGGAATTTTTCCATGGTAACCACTTCAAAGTAATCTTATTTTTATAACAATGTATGTATTACAATGTAGCTTATTATAACCAAAATAAAATATCAACATTTCATTTCTCAAAGAACCGACTACTGTGTTAAAGGATCAAAGTATAAAATTCATCAATTTATATTTCATTGTATCTTAAAAAATATACTACGCAAGTGCAAATTCTCGAGTGTGGAAATGTTAGCGTCATCAATTTTAAATCGATCGCAATGTGAAAGAAATAATAAATATTAAAGGTTTATTAAATATTGATTAAAAGAATACAACGTACCTGACATTGACAGTTCTTCTTATAACGCTTGTTGAGACCGATCTTCATATGGCTTGTTACTTCCTCCCAAGGTATAGCTAGACTGCACGCGTCTATTATCATCTCACCATCTTCTTCAGTACCTGTTATGTTAGAATACAAATCAATTAAAATGTAGTGCTACATTATGCTGTGCGTGATTATTAAAAGCGTGTTAGGAGAAAGCCAAATACATCAGTTTCTTTGAAAGGTACAATTCCTGTATCACTTGTCTCAACAAATCAGGATGTCTCATTGAAACTGCTGGTATCACACGGTATGTATAATTGTATTTACTACTGGTATAACATGGTGTGTATAATTATACTACGGATATTTCTTATATTACTGATATAAAAAAAGTTTCTATAATAATATGTGTGATGTTACATGGTGTGTAATACTTTTGATATTACATGGTATGTACATTTTACTGCTGATATAATGTGATGTGTATGATTATTCTGTGATGTATAATTACATTACTGATGTAACATGGACGAAATAATAATATTGCTGATATTTTATGGTTTGCATGATTATACTACTGATATTACATGTTAGGTATACTTACTGCCGATGAAATACTAACCACTAATCAGATACTCCTGCCCAACTTCAAGTTCTACGCCGCAAGGCAGTGAAGCGTTGAGTACGTGCAAGCTGAAAAAGCATTCAGGAGGCACCTGTGAATATGAAAACATATATGCAGTCTAACACTTTCGGCGAAATGGACACTTGGTATCCTCCAAGTATTTGCACTGTGTTAACGATGAATGGAATTATGACAAAAATGAAGAAAAACAGTGTACAATAAAAGAGGAAATAATGCAATAGAATGGCAAAAACAAAATAAATGATATGAGAAATTTGTATCAACAATGGTGATATTATCTTTATTACAATACATCATAGCCACTATGCAGCACCAAATTTACAGAGGAAGTGTATTGATGTATTTGTTTATGACGCGTTTTAGTGCACTCCACTTTAGCGCATCATATGATTTTAACAGATTATCACATTGAGGAATCTTTACCGATAAACCCGATGGAACACATGTCGGAACTATGGATGGAACAGCCGGCTCCTGAAAACAGAGAGACGAAGGAGACCAGCTTAAAATAATCCAGTATTTCTTACTCAACTCAATCTATATAGTCATACATTGTAACAATCTTAAAGTTAGCTTTCATAAACATTAAAAATGGAAGTAACGTGATGTAAATGACAGTTGAAAGTAAAATAAACATTAGTTACTTTAATAATGAAATTATATAATATCAGTAACTCGGAATATATTTTCAAAACGTTAACATTTTCAATATGTCTTAATAAAGTTGAAACCACTAGCTGAGACTAAAGAATGGAATCCTTTTTCTTTAAGCTACTTCCATTATAACAAAATGAAGCATTTTACAATATAAAATGAAATTTGATGTTATCTATTTTATTGTGTATCTTGAGGTAAGAAACGAATAAAACGATTAAGCCTTGATACAAAATGATTATAATTTCTTGATGGTACGACTATATTTTAAATTTTCAGCAAAAAATCTGTTGGCGATAGAAAAACAAAACGAGAGCAATTAATAATGAAACCATCATTTAAATACACACCTTGAACACCTTTACAATATCGATCTTGTACGACGTTTTTGGATCTACTTCCGTCACATCAGTAATAGTCGTTCTGATCACTGTAAAATAAAGGTAAACCTTTCTGAATCACTTTTCTCATGGTGACTTCTCAGGTAATATCCATCAAACGTATACCGTATAAAAAACGTACAATTAGTTAAAATCTCTTACGAAAATATATGTGATCACTCATTGGTTACTCATTTGAAATAGCGTTACGATAAAGCGCCTAAGTGATATGGTATAAATCCGTACCGAAATCGTCCTGACAAAATGCATCTTGTGGATGAGTCTTGGTCGGACACTCAAGACACTGACAGGAAATTTGAAGGGCGTTCAGGGTGACGATGACTCCCACTGTCACAATAAGTCCTTGGTAAATCATTGTGTAAATTCTGGAACAATATTAATACAAAAACGAGCGATTGCGATTGAATTAGCTCTTTTTAGAACCCAAATATTAGGTATAAATATCTAATGTCCTTGTTTTGGAAGGTATAGACGTTCTGTATGGTAAACATAGTGATGCGTTCGCGGGATTCCAATTAAATAAATAAATACATTAACTTAATGAATAAAGTTCTGTATCAATATTAAGAACCTAATTGAAATGTTGATAACCTTCATAAAAGCTACGATATAAAATGTACAATGTCACTATATAAATAATTAAATGACCTAATGAAAACGTTGCTATATAATGAATTCGTTTTTAAATTCCATAAGAATAAACCATTCTGAAATTGGATACCGCAACCTTTAAAATCATCAAAAGCGTTTTCCTCCAACACTGAACAAATGCTAGGATAAAATCAAACTACCTTTTAGCTAAATAATCAGCTTGTAGGCGCCTTTATTCTGAAAACGTCACAGTCGCGTTATCACTTACATAAAGGTAAATCTTTTAATTTGTGATAAATATAGTGGGGTGTTGGTGATGGTGCGGTACACATGGTTTGCTATTTTTTATAACCTTATTTTTGCCTGAAGAGTGTGTGAAAAATCAATCACTCCTGTGTGATGCAGACAGATAAATCTCCCCTCTCGGTATCAGAGTTTTAAGTTTAAGTCTAGTGCTAAACATGAAAAACTTAACCTTTATTTGCGATGTCCCTTTCTACATCACAGAGACATTTTGTCTATCCAAAGAAGTTAATTGTTACATCAGTACTGTTCACATCAACGGATGGTAATGTTGTTTATCTTTATACAAATAAGAGTTTTGAAATGAAGACTTACCTTGTCTATGCTGCGATCTCGAAATGCATTGAGATGCCAGGTACCAATCCTATTTATTTAGATATGGTGTCATCAAAAACGAATTATCTGAAATATTTGCGCTTGATGTATCGAACAAAAGTTATTTCCATTAAAATGATAAAAAAAACTAATGAAAAATCGATCCCAAAACCACAACCACGTGTTTATGTGATAAATGTTGGCATTTACACGTTAGACATACATTGTTATGAAATATCAAACTATAAATCAATTTTCACGTATTGTATTGTAAAACACAATTGATAAAATATACCATAGCGTGAACAGACATCAGGGGAGAGAAAGAAAAAGCCTGCTAGATGTCGACATGAACAAGTAACTGCTACGTAGGCAATATTAAAGTCAATTTGTTTGTCCGTCTTTCTTTCGGTCTTTGGCGTGTATCACATACACTCAAAGTATGTTTTATGTAATCCATATTCCTGGGCAAGGATGGTTTTGACAATTTTGGGTTGTTGTAATAACACATTAAAATATTAAGAATGGGTCGGGGGAGTCCACTGGCGAGGGCGTGTGTTTTGGTGTAGGTACGTCCTTGCATGCCAGGTAAGAAACACAAAGCGAGGAAAGGAATACAAATACCTCGCTATGCTTTAATCCCCACTGTTTGATCAAATTTGTACCTCGTAACGTAGCACAAAACAAAACAAGCATTCATGCATGATGCTCGTTAGTGCGTGGTTCGTGTGTGTGTACGTATGCTAACGATTGAGTTATCGACTAGATCTTCGACTGACAATATAACTCATGAAACTAGTGTAGATTTATGCTATTGCAACCCCCTCCCTATTTCGCGGGTTTGTTTGCAGAATAAGGTGGAGAGGGTGGCATGGAGAGGGTTTACTCGTTGAACATTCAACAGACTTTCGCATACTAAGACCCATTTTGTTCTGCATCTGAATCAACGACAATTAACATAGACCACCACAGCACACATTCCATCTGTGTGCGACTTCACAAATGTCCAATAACAGAAAAGTAGAAAACAATATGCGACGACATACACGGACACTATTACAACTAAACAGTGATGAAGAAGTAACATAACAAGAACCACAGAGACCCTACAAATAATCATCAACGAAACGAAGTTCTCTGGAAACAGATGATGCAATGCATTTGCTTTCGAATACAACGTCGGTAGAGAGATATACATACAGCTTTTATTGAGGCAAAAAAGTACTAAGAGAATAAGATCAGGTGTTCCGGCAGGTTAAGCGTCTTCTTCGTTATCGAAGACACCGGCCATCTACACATGAATCAAACCCAAGTAATGCCATGTACCGAATAATAAAACAGGCATACCGACGATAAAATCAAAATCAAAATACTTTAGCAGAACTTGAATCAGCGTCAACTTGAGCCCCGATGAACACTTCTCATATCTTACATCGTGTAATATCGTAGGAAAACGGAGTGAATTATTGTATTATATTTACATTTGCATGGCATTGCCACTATATAGCCTCTTTGAAAGCTGTGTCGTTGATGCAGCACGAGACACAATTCTTAGCGTTTTAATACAACACTGACCGGAACTACAATATCCAATGTAAATAAACACGACAGCTGCTGACATATATCGCTGGGCATTGTGAGACTTGACAATGTCATTGAAAATGTATGTGCAAAAGAAAAAAAGGAAATAAAAAATACTTTTATTACAACAAAAACAAGACCAAGGTCTGCAATATCGTACAAAATGCACATCGGTTGAAATATTGGGTCTAAAAGAAACTTGTATCGGGCGAGGCGAAGCAAAATGCACATCGGTTGAAATCACCAATGCCGGCAATGGAAACAATTTTAACACTCGTGCAATTTATTTGAAATATCGTCTGTTACGCTGCACTGATCAACAGGGGTTCGTTACAAATGTCTGAAATACACATATTCTATAGACCTACTGAAACATATGTTACAGACCTACTGATATGAGTCACAGCACACATAACCGTCAGATCTTTGTAATGATATCAGTTTCACACGTCTCACAGCCACGGTTTCCCCAGTTTCTGATCACGACATGTCAAATAACGAGGCTGTTATAGAATCTACCGACTGTAGTCAGATTCCCATACAATCAACAAATAAATTTAAGTCTGGATTCTTCACAAAATGAGCAAAGAGAAACTTTCGAATTAACTTCCAAAAACAACCCCCTCTTGGAGGTCAAGGTCGGATTCACGATGTTCACTGTATTTATCCCTGCGCGAAATTTGTTCCGGGGAAAAATCGGAACAATTTAAGATCTAACTTTCAGCTCAGATTTCTATTGATAAACTTAAATTACCCTAAAGACATATCATACGCAATTGTATTGATACTGAATTGTGGAATAAAAGTGTTTGTTAAAAGGTGGGGTCAACGCCTATGGAGATTTAACATTAGCGTCGGTCCCCGCTTGGAATTTAAAAACAAGATAACTACCAAAAGGTATGGGTATAGAAAGCTTAAATAAGAAACCGTTAGTTTCAGAATTAATTTCAGGATAAATGGGACCTCATTGCCTGACACCTGTGTGGGTGTTAAATGTGCGGTAACACAATTCCTCCTAGAGCATTTAAATAAAATAATTATTATAAAATTATATCATTATCGTGTGCAACATATTCCAACTTTCATTTTGATTCCGAATATAAGACTATTTCAAGAAAGAATTGTTCTTTTTATTGAAGATTTAAGCAGAAAAGTATGTGAAATTTCATTACTTGAGATAACATTTCCATTTTCGACACGTTAATTTTCATAGTTCTAAAACCAGTCTATATTTCATACTTGCTTAAAAGTTGGCTACCAATATTATCTTTCAACATCAGGAATTTTAAGAAAATTGAAAACCGGTTAATTTTATCATATAACACTTTTGATTCAAAAAAAGAAATACATAACTTTCTTTCCATTTTTCCTTTAACTTGTGTTTCTTCGTGACCAAAAGTCCTTTGGTCTTGATATTTGGCAAGTAGGTTGTTCATGTGATTTGATTTAAATTTCGTAACCGTTGATGACCTTGATCTTCGCTCAAGGTCACAAAAAATCAAATGTGCTGAAATAATTTTTTCCTCCATATTTTGTTTAATGGATGGGCAATAGGCCAAATAAAATAATAACTAGAGCTGTAAGCCAAAGACTAACTAATACCCCCACTCCTATATAACCCAGAATGTTAGCTAAAGGCTAACTAAGGCAAATCATTGCAAAGCAATGCATGGTCCCCCCTCCCTATGCCAAAACATACTTCTTTACCAAATCTTGTTAGCCCCGATGAACCAGTTTTGCTTTAGTGGTTCTAATAGTTAAGGAAGAGTTGTCAAGACAAAGATTTTTAACAAAGTGCCATAACTCCTTAAAAAGGGTCGAAATGAAAAAAGTACTACCCTGATGCACGTACTCTGATGCACGACATCAGGGGGTAATTACCATATCTGTAAATATTCATTGAAATCGGCCCAGTAGTTTATAAGGCAGACCAAGGTTCTTTTTCTACAAAGGGACATAATTCCTTTTGAGCAGGACGTACCAGGGACGAGGCGGGAAAGTGTTTTATGGACTTATATTTGATAAGTTTGATGGCTAGTATGTGAACTGCAACGTTTTTAATAATCATGGCGGTGCTTTGTGACATGCTAATTTTGTCAATAGTTGACTTAGTGGTAATTTAATCTATGTAACTTGTATATACATTTTAACCTTTATCGAGTGTCCATTTACAGGACTGCTGACATTTTCATCTACTATTGCATAGTTATATTTTACAGAATCGTGTTCCACATACTCATTGCAATAGAGCAATATGGTTTCCACTGCATACCAATCCATTACCCCCTCCACTATTCCCGTAATTATTCTTTTGTACATATTACTTCATTCTTGTAGCTAGTGTTAAAAAGTTGATTACTAAGCAGGTAACAAATTTACATAAGTGTCACGACACTTGTTTTTGTTTCCTTTTCTGTTTTATAAAACATGCACTTCGATGTTTTGTCAAACAAAATTTGAATAAAACAAAGTTTAAACCAATTCCTTTTTAAATGTTCGGAATGAAACATACTATTTGGATGCACTATGTCAGGGGGCAGTTGCCATATCTATAAACTTTCGTTGAAATTGGCTGCATAGTTTTGGAGGACTTGTCTGGATAAAAAACCCATCAAAGGGCCATAACTTTGTAAAAGAAGGATCAGAATGAAAACATAATACTTGTATGCATAACTTGAGGTGGTAGTTATCATATATGGTAACTTTCGCTGACATTGGTCCATTACTTTAGAAGGAGTTGTCCGGACAATCTTTTTTCTACGGACGGACAGACAGACAGACAGACAAACAGACAGACAGACAGACAAGCTGATTCCAGTATACTCCCTAACTTTGTTGCAGGGGGTATCATAAAGTGTATAATATTTTTATTATAAAGATTATTTGATTATTTTTATATAATTGCATATCGTTGTCTAACACAATGTAACACAATTTCAACCTTAAGTAGTTCTCCAGAAGAAAGATTATTTTGGCAGAATACATATTCATGAGTTATAACTGCTGCACATAACTTAAAAACATGCGTAATATAATAAAGTGTTTTGGTATGATACAAAAACAGAAAATGTATCGGTTTTTACCATAATAAACATTGATAATCAAATCTTCAAGATTATGTGAAATTGGGCATTAATAATCTTTGGCATGCTAATAAAGTACTTTATAGGTTTTTATATTGCATAAAATTGATTCAGGAGACAAAATACATATATGGAAAGTTGTTAACGAAGTTTAAGATATAGACTACCACTGTAACTATATATAGGCAAGTTCACAATGTTCATTATATTTTTAATTTTGTGAAAATGTTGCATGTTTTTCTAAATAAAAGTATCACTACGCTAACTTCATATATACCAATATGACATATTTAATATCAAAATAACAGTAATTTTATACACTGTACACTATCATAATTCATTTTCAAAATAGCATTCGCCTGTGACATTTATCAATTATTTTGTTAGGGTACCCCCATCACTCAACCTGGTGTTATGCAAGGAGATCCAGTACGGTTTTCAGTAGTAATGAATAATCATTTATGCAGTTATTGATCATTTTTATGTATCTACATCTGGCAAAAGAATAAAAGAAATCAAAGTGGGGGCCAAATGTTGACCCCACCTTTCAAAGTACTACTTTGTTTGCCAATCAGCACGCGAAAATACGCTGTTCAAATTGTTGAACGAAATTGTGTTGACTGTCTTTTTTAATGTTAAATATAAATTATAAGTCAAAAAAGAACATAAGAGGAAGAGAAAACGTAAATATAATGAATAATGTTGATAAGGTTTAGCAAGCATCGTTCTGTTCTGTAGTTAAGCTGTCAACTAGGTAAAAAAGACCCTGATAAAGTAAATATTTCCACTAACAACCTTTTACGATTTAAGGAAAATAAAACGGTTTGTTTACACTAATATAACAGCAATTCAGAGCGTTAAGGCATTGGATCAGAAATAGTAGTTTTATGTTCAAATAAAGTGACCGGTTAAAATATTTTCGTGTCAATTTTTAGATTTCTTTTTTCCAACTAAATACCTGTTTCGAGGTGTTTAATACAAATGCATTATTATTCTGAAATTCCCCTTCATGTTGTTTAGATACACAAAATGTCTATGTTTATGTTGTTTCATAAGACAATGAAATTAACAAATAGCGATTAATGTATGGCCATATTTGTGAAGAAATTTGAAATAGGAATACGCGCCATAAAGATAATCAGGAGTTACTTCCCCTTTACCGTTATGCTACCAATAGCATGTGCTAGAAAACATTGAAGCTAAATTTTTTCAGTATACGTGTTTGTTTTGAATAAAATCATAAAAAATGACGAATGATCGAATGCACAGCACTGATATAAGCATTCATTGTAACGATGTTACTCATTTGTATTTTTCCTAAATCATCTACTTCCTAATAAAATGAGCGATCGGAATCATTGCTGTATATGTAGTATGGGTGTCGCAACACGCCGGGAGTGTATCACGTTGTGTTGCTACACAGAAGGAATGTATTGTGATACATATCTAGATATATTGGCATAGAAAAAGGGTGCTCAATTTAACGCTATTGTCAGAATGTTATCAAACTGAATGATATTTAAAAAGGATCACACAGGTTCTCGATAAACCAAATTTTAACTAATTCCTGCCACTTGCAATGACTTATTTATGGTTATTAGCATCCCTGTTCGAAAGTGTAGTACTTTGCAAAGTTATCACACCTAGTCAATACATAAAGTTAACTTTTTGAAAAGTGTTACAATACAGCTATGTTTCATTGTTATACGATACGATATGCTCGTGTATTGCGATATATCGGTTTTCCTATGTGTTGCGACAGCCCTAATATATGTCTGACGAAGATATCATTGAAACGTAACGAGCTCCGTGACACATGTTTTAAATGAGCGCTTTAGACGTCTTTCTAGAATGTGTGTCTAAATATATTGCCGAAAGTTCTAAATTGATATTTGTATATAACATGCACAATGTTCCGATAAATATGTGCCCAGTGAAACTTTCATCCTTCAACTGAAAATATTATAATTTCCCAGTGTTAATTTCGACAATTGGATGTAATATTTGTATATGGTATGCTTTGTTTAAACATTCGCTATTATATCATCCAGGGCGATTTAAATAATAACAGTGAAACTTTGGCAAACATCTCCCGGCATGAAAGAAAAACATGAAATTTTCTTGGGATGCAATAAAATACTATTTTATTTTTACAATCACATCTGTTTGTTTGAAATGTTCAAAGACAAAACTGTTTCTTCTTAAGCAGGTACAGTTCAAGGTATGCTATTAGTGATGCAGGTACTGAAGGATTGACTTTGCTTCCATTTACACTCGGGTGCACAACCGGCCTGGGCAAACTGTACACAGGTGGCGTACTTGCAGTAACAGGACTTGTCAAGGGCTGGGTCTACCTTACATCTGTCATCTCCGATCTGTAATGTAATAATATGCATATTTATACAGAATATAGGAAATATATGAGTTATTATTGTACTGTGTTTGTAACATGATGCTGGTGATCGTTTATTACACTACACGTACACGAGACTGACCATTTCGTTATCTTGCCTATTACTATAATCTACTAGTATTTATGTCAGTACTTATAATAAGAACGTAAGGCGCTACCCCCAGTGTTTTTATTCTCGTCTATACAGACGTATTCTGTGAAATCGGATATTTTCGTGAGGCTCAAATTTCGTGGTTTCCTGACAAAACACCACTTCGTGAATACAGGAATTCGTTGATTACGAGTCCCTACTCAAACAAGATTTGTTTCAACAAATTGTAATTGCTTCGTGGACTTAATTTCTTAATAATTCGTGAATGAATATTACCCAAGATGTCATCGAAACTTATACCACACGAAAATTAGTGATTTCACAGTACTTATCATAAAAGTAATTTTGTAGGCAATTACAAAGAGTCAGTACAAACTATGGTCGGGTATTTATTTTTATCTTCGTTTGAATAACTCGATGAACGCAAACTTAAATATTTTTTTATCTGGAAATAGAAGTATAGTTGAATTAAGATTCTTTATAAAAGAAATATAACAGCGGAAAACACGTGAATAAGTATGAATGTTTGCGTTTTGACTAAATTGTTCGTGATTTTGATAATGTTGCTGCAATATATTCTTCTTAGTCTGTCAATAACCCATAGAAATTTTTTCTGATACTATACATATTCTTGATTCCGATTGGTTAATGCATTGTTTAATGTTTTGACAACATATAAATTAATCGGAATACGGAAACATAAACTGAAAAAGTCAACACAGGCCAATTAAGTAAATAAGCAAACTTAATTTTCAATAATTATTTTCTAACTTTGTATTTTAAGTGACAATTATATGTTATCTAATCAAGGATACATTAATTAGCAATTAATGAAAGTTTGTTTTACCTACCTCGCATTGGCAGTTCTTCTCATACCGCTTATTGACACCAATTTTCATATGACTGGTGACGTCATCCCAGGGTTCATGGAGGCCACACGCGTCCATTATGAGTACGCCTTCCTCAATAACACCTGCGATGTACAAATACACATCAATTGGAAGAGGACATCTATTTTAGACAATACGACAGAGATTGACGTTAAGCTAATAATGTCCCTGATGTTTTAAAGTTTAAAAGAAAGATTCATTTTATCATCTGGATTCTAGACAACTTAATGCCGCCTACGTGTAGCTTGATACATCCATTATCATGAACTGTTAATGTGGGACTACTTGAGAAGATGGGGACGACATAGGAATGGATTTTACAATTTTTAGATTTTTTTCTCTCATAAATCTCTGCGCGTGTTAGGTGACATCAGTTTAATGGGTTAGATTTTCATTATACGTTTAAAAGCGCTATATACATAGGGAATAGTCCTAAATAAACTGTTATAGTTCACAAAAAAATGAATAAATATCATTTATTTTTATTTTTACTTTATTCGTTTCTATAATTTTTAAATATATATAGAAGTCGAACACAAGACCCAAGAACTGTTCTTTTTATATTCCCCTCCTCATTAGTTTGATAATAAGAAATACAGTCTATCAAACACCGTTTTCATGGTTTGGCGTTCGAACTATCGCTTCAGCCCTGAAGTGGTCTATTCATTTTAACCAAGAAAAATGTTCTCAAGGAAACTTTTATTCGAACTGCAGTTTTGCTTAAACTTTGGTATTCTCTGTTTTATATGTTTAGGTTATTTCTGTGGTGTATACAAACATTCATGATAATTATCTATATTAATTTACTTTTATCTATGCCATCGACTTTAAATCTTAGACAATAATGAATCAATATTATTAATGTTTACGAATTCAACAAATCGTATTATCCAAATCTCTTGAACAGTTTTGGTTTACATTTTAACGAAGCACAACATTAATGTTACGGAGAGCGAGATAACTTATTTCTGGTCCTAATGGTATTCAATGTAACTGATCAACTGCAAGTGTTTTGTTAACCTTTACTTGTTTATTTGTTATGGTATCTGGTGTTAGTGAACATAAACCAAACCCTGGATGGGGTTATTTGAGGTTTGCTTATATAGTATATCAAATTAATGTATTACAATGTATAAGAGAAGGTCAGATATCTCAAAATAGTAACGCAGTGTTTTAATGTTTAGGGAGCACTGTTGTAATGCTAGGTTTAATCCCGGTCTCTGTCCCGAGAGGATATTGATTGTTAATACAAGATGGGGTAACGTTGACAAATAAAGGATTTAAAAGAAATATTTATTACAACCAAATATTGATACCTCACTTTAAATGATTTTAGTATATTTTATAGAGATTGAATGCATTTAAAGCATTCATTGTACATCAGTTATATCTATTTGGTTGGATAATCAGAAACAGCGTTTGCCCTTATTTTCAGTTGATTTCTCGAATTTATTGGCCATATCGAAATCTTCACTGAGCGGTTATATAGAAACTGGTAATACTTTCTATTTGTATGATAGCGTTTAAACGTGTTCTCATGGAAATGCTTAGAAAAAATATTAAAAAGTACCGTTTTTTACTCTGCACTAAAGGTACGGGAAAATATCAATATTGTTAATTCTCTATTAAAGAAAATCTGGATATTTCGTTACTGACCACTGATAAGGAACGTCTTTTCCAGTGTAAGTTCCACGCCACACGGCAGTGACCCCCGCAGTGTCCACACATAAGTGTAACAGTCCGTTGTCACATTTCCCTGAAAGTATAACAATTAAACATAGAACCAAGATTTAGCGCATTCGTGAAATATCATATAATGTTCAGTGTATTACTATATGTGACAGATTACATTCACAGCAATTTGTATAGTGGTAATGTGACATTAAGTGACGCTGCTAAAGTCCTTATCATTGATAGATGGAATTATGAGAAAAAGGAAAACATCGTTTGAACTAAGTGCTTTCGAATTTGCTGCGTGGAATTATGCACAAGTAAAACATCAATTTCGTAAAAGTAATTACCGGTAATAGTTCAATGTTATTTACATTTTCTAAATGATGTCTGTTATGATACGGTATACCTCTGTTTAAAACATGACGTACAATATGTTAATGTTTTAAACCTTTTAAAATAGTCTTTTCCGATTGCTACTGATATTTTATTATTTTTTGTAGCCTCATTTGAATGTGCCTTTCAGTTTTGGCCAGATCCATCCAAGGAAAGGTATTTCGATGTAAGATTGAACAAGTAATGCTTTCCTCCAGAATTAAAAATAAATAAAAATCTATGTTTTTGTTACAACATTGAAAAGATTCCGGTACATGTGTACACAAATCTGAACTCTGCTCCAGAAAAATGTGCTATTTTCATAAAAAAATAATTCAACTAAAAGGGAGCGATAATCTGAACATAATTCAACTTTTAGATGATCAAAAGGAAATGTTTCAAAAGTGTTGAATTATAAAAAAAAAACCACCACATCAAATATAACTCCATAGGTCCTAGAGTGGTAAAAGTTGTTGGATGGATACAACTGGGCAATACAAAGCACATCATTAAAGCGAAAAACGTTTTTAAAAGATGACAGACAAACCTTGTACACTTTCTCGACGAACACTTTATATTTGTCTTGTGGGTCGATATCAGTGGTGAGAGGATCGTCCCCGAAGTTAGTTAAATCATCCACAGTTGCTTTGATCACTGTAACAATAAGGTTAAGACCTGTCATCATCTTCCTGCTGTAGACAATCAATGGATATTGTCATTTCTGGAGAAAGGAGTAATGAAAACTTGATTTAACTAACTATGAACAGAACCGGCTGCCAGTGATTCTTATTTCACGACAAATTTTCCCATCATTCTCTTAGAAATTTTCTTACCAAAATCTGCAGCACAAAATGCCTCTTGTGGATGAACCTTGTCCGGACATATAGGACACATCCCATTTGTTAAAGTAAGAAAGGCGAGGAGGATCGCCACTCTCACCAAAAGTCTCCTGAACTCCATTGTGATGATAATGCTTCAATAATGAAAAACGAAGGAAAGAAGATGAACATGGAGTGATTCAGGTCTTTGAAGAGCATAACATAAGTGTGATGGAAAGTTAAATATTTGATTATCTTCGAAGTTGGTATGACTATTCAAAAGATTCTTACAGAAATGTATTTACTCAATTGCACATGAACACTGAAATGTTTGGAAAATAATGGCCCGATTTAAAGGTTTATTTATCAAAATGTATTTATAAAGTACTATATCGGATTTTTGTTCGCATAAAATGCTGTCATTTGAAAAAGAAGTAAACGAACGCAAAAAAGACACTTTAGGTTTCTGAAACCACGTTAAAAAGTTATTTCTATTTTACTCTTCTGTTTCGATCAACTTTAAAAGCCATTTAACACATAAAAATCATTAAGAATTGATTATGATTAGTTTAAAAGTGAAATAAAACCCTTTAAATGATTGAATTAGATAATAACGACAGTACGAACATTTCAAAACTGCCAAGTTTTAGTGGCAATCTGCCTTGTTGGTCTTGACAGAACTTAGCAGTTACTATAACACAGCATAGAAAACTATGAACAATAATCACATAATTACTTTTAGTTAATAACGCTGATATTAATGTTTATCCTTTCTGCCAGTTGGCAAACCAAAGACATTCTATGATAATAATGAAAATTCATCTAAGATGGTATACGAAGTAAAATATGGAAATTTGTCAGCAAAATTTGGACTGTGGTTATGTTATCAGCGATCGAATTGAAAATAAATTTGAACGTTAAAAATAATAAAGAAAACGGTGCAGGGGCACGACGGTAAGAGGAATGGGGTTGCCCCACACTCGACCAATAAGATAAATAGAAGTAGGTAAAACTGGAATAAATAACAGGTTATATGGTAAGTAAGGTTTATATGATGATAAAGTAATTGACATGAGTGAGTCTAGAGTTAAGATAAATATCCATACATATTTACAGAGTATAGTACTGTTCAGTTGGCAATGACGATACATACGAATAGGAAAAGAGAATGAAAAATATAAAACAATAAAAAAACAAACAAAAAAACGCCTAACACGAAAACATGAACCTAGAACCCGTTCATCAAATGATCAGAAAACCGTCAATGAAAATATACGTAATGATGAATTTAGGTAATAAATCAGCATCATTAATAATATCAACAAAAATTACCGAGGTCTTAATTATATCAAGAGAATAAGTATCAAACCGGTTTACCAGGATAACAGTAAACAATACTGATGGTCTACACTTTAAAAAGCAGAACTATTTGAACCAGTGTTGTTGCTTGTTGAGGCTTTGCTGGTTACTTCAAATCTAGCAATGGTCAAAAGGAACAACATGTACATGTATGTCTTGCCATGTACTACTCGGCATATTTGAAAGTCTGTTTATTGACAGGTCCGGACGTATATTTATAATTATCTTACTTTTTCTTATCGGACTTATCGATTTAATATTTTAGTGTCTCTTTATTTCAAATTTACCCACTTTGAAAACATATTTGTTTTCTTATTGTTGAAGTGTGAGAAAGTTCGCCACTCTTCACAAAATACAACAGCACTCTGTTTTTTATTGTCAAACCTGGTTTTTCAAACAATCCCTGAAACCACAACCACCTTTCCAAATTTTGCTTACAGATTTTAACATTTGTTTTAGTATACAATCATAAGATTTATTCTTCTTTGTTAATAGCATGTGGAGGAAGAATGCCTCGAAAAGATAACATTTTAAAATGTTGTATTGTCTGCGCATGCGATAGATATTCTTTCGTTAGGATATTGTATCATATTTTAGACTGCACTCAAGTAACTACTTAATGTCGAGTTATACATGTAGCGTCTTATGCGAACGTAATGCTTTTTCACGAACAAATGCAAAAATATACAAATATACCACTAAAGTTCTACTTAATAAGTCACAAATGTTCATAAAATCAAACCAAATTTATATAAACTGATCACATAATGATGAAGCTTTACAAATATACACATGTATGACGAATTTTTTTCTTAGAAAAAAGAAAGACTTACCTTTTTTTCTAATCAGCGCTGTAAAATGTGATGAAATGTAAGGTATCCCCACGTTTTATCCCCACGGGGTATCATCAAATACGTATTACTTTAACTATTAGTGTTTTAATGTATCAAAACATTAACAAATTTTATGTAGATGATAATATCACACTAAATGTCTAAATGATACTTTTCACAAACATTAAGAACACGTGCTTAACATGTTAAGATCTGACACGCAAAATACTTACCTGAGACATAAAAGAATCAATCGAATGTTGAAAGTAATAAAACCATAATGTTTTCGGTAAAATCTTTAACAAATGTAGCAGTTACTATTAGTTGGTCATGTTTGTGTTTTATGTCCGCTTTATCTTCATTTTGATGGGCACATTATTAAACATTTTTGCAAAATGATCTTTGATTCAAAATCAATGGATACAATCTTTTTAATCATAGGAAATTGATAAAAAGCTCAACGTTAAATAAAAAAATCAAAATAAAAAAAATCGGGGTAAGCTTAGAATGAAATGTTTGGTTTTGTGCCGATACTACATTTAACTGAGGAGTGTAGAGTGGTTCAAAGTATTTAAGTCATGTTTTTGATAGAAATAATGTTTGAAGATATTTGATTGTCATACTAAGCTATAAAACTCTTAAGTCTGTCTTTGTTCGATCTCATTATAGCCAAATCTCAACTCTCAATATACTAAACTCTCAGTATAATCAATTTTGATTATAGCTTCCTCGAAATATATTCAACTCTCTCTATACTTAACTATCAATATACTCAACTTTCGATCATAATAACTTTGATGTGTAGATAGTCCAAAGATAAACGGGTAAACTGTACCTGTAAAGCATACAATGAAAATGTTGATGTGTAGAATGTTTAAAAAGCACATTGTCAAACTGAAGATGTACATTTTTGACAGATGCATCTTTGATGTGATAAATGGCAGTGGCTAAGAGTCCTCGTACAAATGGTTCATATGAATTTATTAACTTAAATGGACAATAACTGAAAATGATCTTTAAAAGTTTTAATAAAATCCATGTTTTGATATACTTTATTTATTTGTTTGACCAAATCCGAAAATAGCACATGAACCAACGATAATTTTCACTGCTAATGGTAAAGGATCATGTTGGCACATGATCGATAAGAATAGGTATATATAATACCTGAATAAGCATCACGTAGGAAAATAGTGCACTTCATTTCCATTAAAATTCAAATAACATAAATCATTATATCATCAAACAGAAGATGCGGAAGAAGCAGCAGTACAATTACACGTGTTTTTCTCTGTTAAAGTTAAACATAATTCATTCAATGATATGTAACCTGACAAACAATGTTCTGTGAGAAAAGAGTAAAACCATGCAAATTTGACTTTTTTCTTACAGAACATATTTCCAATGGTCAAACAAGTTAACTTTCCATCGTTAGTTATTGTTGGCTCCATTTTTGCTCGATATATATATATAAGTTACTAGATATAAATATACGCTACTAGATATATATATAGGTTACAATATATATATATATATAGGTAACTAGATATATATATAAGTTACTAGATATATATATATAAGTTATTAGATAGATATATAAGTTACTAGATAGATATATAAGTTACTAGATATGATATTACAAGAAGATAGAACTGATATACTATAAATGAAAATATAGCTATATTTTCAATTATAGTATATCAGTTCTATCTTCTTGTAATATGATGTATATGTGCATGTAACTGTTCTGTTTCACTGCGTCTTGATAAAGGAGCGAATCGCATCGAAAATTTGACAACCTAACTTGTCCACACTGTTGGAATTACTTCTTTGCCCCATATACTATTTTAAGTAATTCGTATCCTACGGACATACCTCCATTAGGATCCAGTGTTATATGGGATTTTACCGTCTATATTACTTCTTTGACCCATACTAGATATATATATATAGGTTACTAGATATATGAAAGGCATCTTTTAAAATCATCAATCATCGAAATTCTAAACGATTGATCTGATAATTACGTTTTGGTGAGCGTATCAGTTATGAAATGATATTAAACAAAGCTAAAAGATGAAGTCTTTACAGTGATTGAGTAAAAACTATACACAAAGTTAGTTATTTGAAACATGGTTATAGGCGTCACTTTTACAAGCATAAAGTGCAATTACACGATCGAACATGTCCATCATCTATATAACAGCGTTTTTTAAAATTCTATTTTATTGATAGCATGGAAAATAATAAAAGAAATAAATCATTAGGTTACCCTTAAAGTGTTCGAGTAACCCCAGTCACATTTCCCTCATGTGAGGTATTTTAAGAAAACTGAGTGAGAGGCAACAACCCATGATTTCCGATTAATTACATTAGACCATCAGAATAGTGAAAAAGAATGATTATTTTTAATAGTTTGCTTTATTCTATTCCGTTATAATAAAACACGTATTTCGATTGTTTGCTGGAATTCGATTATTTGTTTCCACATGAATGACCAGATTTCACTAGGGATCATCCCTCGTAAAGTATGGTAGATGTCGGAGAAAAAGGACTTAGACTTTAAATGTGACTTTAAACATTTTACATACTTCCAGGTTTCATCATCTTAATAAAATATTTTCTATAAAACTCTCTCTAACAAAAAAATCAAAAACAAAATCTGTTTTGTGTTAAATACTCGGGTATCACTGAATTATATAAAAGTAATATTATGTATTAAATTGCATTACCCTTATCGCTGAGAATTATCCAAGAACCAAAACAGCTTTTCAATCAATGTTTTGAATTTTTGTCATATTTTTATATGCTCTTTCAAAGTATATAAAAAAATGACACTCAGTAAGCAATAATGTCGTGTCAATATTTATTTAAAGTATATCTTAACATTTACCTATCTTTTTACTTACTTCATACACATTCTATATTTTTGTCAACTTCACAGAAAAAAACTTTCGGAGATAAGATTCTCTATAAAGTATTCATTAGGGTTTGGCAAAAACTTATTGAATTGAGTTATAAACAAATACTGAATAGTATTTGCTGTATATCAACAGCGAAATAATCGTCAGTGTTAGGGTATCCCAATGAAAGATCCATACTGAAAAAAGTACTTCTTATACAATTACTTCTGCTTTATTTGAATATATGTTCAGTTCTCTAAGGCTTCTAATTCCCTAAAGGTTTTCCTTGTGGAGTTTCTAGATCAGCCAAAATAATTGAAATGTCGGCATCGTACTGTGATAATAAAACAAGACTCTTTCCTATGCGAATTCTTTTGATATTATTCTTATTTAATCTTAACACTAAGTACATCTACACATAAAATAACTAAATATTGGATATTGTGATCGCCTTGACGACATCCACGTTTAATTCACATTTTTTTTATAGCATTCCCAAAATGGAAAAAAACTCCCAATAAAACAAAAAAAGGTTAAGCACTTTATAGCACTACATAAAACTCCAGTAACAAAATCAAAAAGTTTTTTGTGAGAAAGTCAATAAAGAAGATACGAGAAGTTTCATTTGTTTCAGCAAAAATGTTTTACAGAGTATAAAAATGACCTATTTTACTCTTTTTGTTATAGAATCTGATGTGATTAAAAAAATGTGAAATTAGAATCAGCAACAGCTTGCCCTGCCTGCAGCTACGATCATGACATTAATTGGGCTAGGCTACAACCAATTTGACAACTAAGCTCAGGTAGAATTTTTGTAACGCATCTGCGCTGAAGGTTGAACTTTTGCATCCGTGTCATTTACTTATGTTCAGGCAGAACGACAACTTCGTCGATTCGTCATAGTACTGACTAGGCTTGAAAAACGTTTGCTGCATGCTGAATTATAATTTATCTGAACACAGTTTTGCTATTGCTAAAAATCATTCAATTGCTTTAGTTGGTTTGTATTATTTTGAATATATTGAAAATCTCAATGTCAATTGATTAAAACATTATATTTAAGACAGTAAGTTACAAGCACGTAACAATATGTTATACCAAGGATCACTCTTATATTAATACCAGGTATTTCATTTTATCTTCTTATGGTGTATAATTGTTAAAGATGGTGTGGGTGAATATGCCCGCGTTATCTTCCCGCGTACCAAGTCATTAATATAGCTCAACATACGGTTATTACACCTGTTGCAAGGAAACACTCTTTTACTCCCGAAATTAATCATGCTTCACGAGTGCAAAGTCCAAATGAAACATGCTGTATCGAGGGAAAACAAAGAATCGTGTTTCCCTAACACTATGGCAATACCTATTTGATTATGTCGAAACAGAAGAGTAACCAAAAGTAAAATTGATCGGGATTACGCGACCATTGTCGTTTGCTTTAGTCACTGCGAACGCAGGTGTTTTGTGTCTTGCTCATTCTTGCTCTAGAGAGGTCACGAGTAGGGAAATATGAAGAGGACACATCAGCGCGAGAGGGAAACATGTTGGTTTCCCCACCCGCCATGTGATCAATATAATCGAATCAGATACGTAGTTATGTAGATGTGGTAACATAATACTTTATATACCCAGCGGAATTTGTCTGAAACATTATAGGTTCCCAACAGCAGCTACGACCGCAGTATAAAGACGATGTACAAAGATGACAGATAATGCAAAGTGTATCCACATAGAAATGTCACATTTGACCCGGTAGCATAATACACTAAACTCACCAGGTCACATTATTCCTGGCATCTATTGGGAAGCAACACGGACAGAAAAGAGTAGTGGCGCATAAGAAAATACCCTTTTTTGTATCACCCAACCTTCCAATGTCTGCTCCTTTGGTCCTGCATTTCAACATATCTGGTTAGTTAGTTTTATAAGCCGAAGTGAAATGTGTTGATTCCCTGTTTATATACATTTTTTTAATGCGTATGTAAATTTGTCACACTGACAATTTTTTTTTTTTTTTTTTTTTTTTTTCTGCAAAGTTATAAGTTACTTTGAGAGTTTCAGTTGTACTTCACTGCTGCCAAAAAAGCCCCTACCGGCTTACCGGACACCC